ACTCTTTCTGGTCCAGCATAACTATTTTTATTTATTTTCTATACTGTGGAGTAATATTGTTTTAAAGCACTATCTTTAGATTAATCTTTCATGCATGAGGACTGCAAATATGTATCCTCAAAAGAGCTCTTTGTTGACTTAGCTCCTCTCCTAATAAAATTAGTGGGAGGTTTATGATTGACTTTGGGGAGAGCAGTGTTCTGGTGTTACAGTCCACTTCTGAAATTCCACCCTTCACACACCATTGAGGTTAAGTAGCTGCCTCTTCTGAATGCATTAGCTCTACTCGATTCTTTGCCAGCATCATCAGCTTTTCACGTTGTATTTGCGAATTTTTGGATCTAGCAGATCAAAGGTTGAAATGAATTGTTTCAACTTCCTTTTAGACAGGCTTTCTGTCGCTGGGGGTGATTGTCGCTTAGGGTCTCCTATTAGAATCAATATCCTGCATCTGCGTTAGGAATCATGTTCATTCCAAACTTTTGCCTGATTTGGGCTTCTTTGATTTTTTTTTTTTGTTTGTTTGTTTTTAAGTAAACTTCAAGTCAGCATTTCCACAAAGCTCTTCTTCAGCCCCAGAGAACAGTACTAATATGTGGCCAGAATGAGAATCAGACACATCTAAGCACCTCTTGAAAAATCAGACTGCGTTTTCACAACATCTTGCACAACTACTACTGCATGGAACTGCTTTCCTCTCTGAAACAGCAGAGAGATTTTGCTGGATGTGCAGAGTGTAGCAGAAAGCGTATTTTATCATGTCTCTGTGCAGCCCATTTGCAGCAGGAAAGGTTTTGAATTAAAAGCAAAGCCATGATGATTCCTATATTGGAAGCCATCCTACTTTTTTTTTCTTTTTTTTACACAAATGTGTCAGAAAATTCAAGAAGCAATGATAAAATGTTTGCTGATTTAGATCAACAATAGAAATACATTAAAGATTTAATGCTGAGGTAGGTATTTGGCAATACTGAAGAGAAACTGAGTTATATCAAGGTTTGAGTTGAGCCTTATGTTTAAACTCTGAAGCACAGTAATTAAAACTTTGCCTGTAGCAAGTAATTCACTTGAGGGTAAAATAGTGCATGCGCATATGGAGGGAAGCACTGATTTAGGTTTACCCTCTTTTATACGGTTTATACGTCTGACCTATGAAAAGCTAACAGTCCCACCTCTAAATCCAGTTCCCAATTAAAAACACAATTTGAAAAGCTTTAGGAGACCTGTGGGGCCTCTTTTACAGAAGTTTCTGGTCCCATCCCCCAATGAACAAATTAAAAAATATTACCTGGTCCCCTGTTGGTCCTCCAGGCTGACACTGTGTTTTCATTAATACATCATTAGGGTAATGACATTGTGCTGATGTTTCTCTCCAAACACAGGAGAAGCCATCAGGAGCAACAAAGTTCTATGCCTTTGCAAACTTAGTTATAAGGAAAACTTTTAAGAATGGATTATAAAGCACTGACCTTGTTCTTTTTATGTTTATATCCTCTCTTTCTGTACACTACTTTGTTTTGTTTTGCATGAAAAAATGCATAAAAATTAATCAGATAACATCCCGTAAGTTGAGACTACATTCACTTAGAAGCTATGTAAGCCATTATAACAACCTGGAGGCTTTACCCATTTAGAAGTCACTTGGAATTAAAGTAATTAACCTATTGCTGTATCCTAAAAATCAAAAATGAAAATGGTATTTTATTATTTTTCAGACAATCAACTGTTACCTAATAGATAACAATGGATTTATTTTAGTGTCTGAAGACTATAGACAGGTAAGTGAAAGATTTTTATTCAGTCTTCTTATGTAACACATTCATATAAATTTACTTGTTTTTTAAATAGGCCACTATCTTAAAATGTTAAGGAATTAGTAACATAAAATTAAAAAGTCCTTCAACAAAGAATGTAAATTGTTTCTCGCAGGAGCTCAGTTTCTGTCTCCCATTTGGGCAGTGTCTGCTCTTAAACTCATACATGTTCTCTTAAAGGGCTTTTTTGCTGTAGAAGTATCTGTCTTCCGTAAAACATTTTTACCCTAAGAAAAAAATATTCTCTGTGGCATTTTTGCCACATAGAAAGGTTGGGGAAGGAGGGAGGATGCTGGGGACGCAGAGCATTTACATTCAAACTTGAGATAAAGAAATCTTACAGAGCTGTTAGCTGAGGAGTTTGTTTTCTGAAGTGGATTACAGTCATTGAAGGATTAAAACTAAGTACTCAGCACCACAACAGAGAGCACAAGGATCATGATTAATGGGAAGATCATTCAAAACATTAATTTGCTTTGTCTTCATAGAAAATTATTGAAAAATGAATGTATAATCACTCAATCCTGCAAACCTTATGAAGGAACCGTCACCATTCTCATTAACTTTTGCCTGAGAACTGCTGGGATGGTGCCCCAATTATGCCAGAATTGTCTGAAGCTGAATTTCTTTTATGTGTTGGGATCGTGAATAGGAATATCCACACTCCTGCTTAGCCCTCGGGTGAATTAACTTTATTATGACCAGGTTGGTTACTGAGAAACAGCTATTGGAAAGAGCTCTGGATGACTTGGAAGAGTGACTGGACAGGAGATAAAAAACTCGAAGTGAATGGCAGAAAAGAAGGCAAACTGAGTATTTTGCTTTTAAATTAAAAGCCTGAATTATTGCAACCTTAAATCTGACACTTCTGAAAGTAAAAATATACAGATATTTTTCACCTTTGCGCAGTGCAGAAGTAATTGCACGGTTCCTCGTGATCCCTCTCTCCCTTGCCCTTGGTTGAGACTTTGAAAAGTCTATTAGCACATAATAGACAAGGGAGATACAATTCTTCTGCAACTATTATCCTTCCGATGCGTACTAAAGTATTTACTGTTCAGCGTGCTCTACGATGTTATGCAATAGTCATTCTTCATGGTGTGTCTTCTTACATGCAAAACTGAGCACCAAAATCTATTATTTCATTTTACTTTATTAAATGTACTGCTTCCATCCCTTTAGAATGTCAAGCATGTTCTGAATATAATTCTAGGATGTACTCAAAAATAATATGAACTAAAATGTAACATTGTTTAAACATTAACTGCATTATGTTAGAAGCAGCTGTTTGGTTTTTTTTTCCCCCTCTGTATCTATCTATCAAATCTGTATTTTCTACTTAGTTGAGCAATGACCTAAGAAAAACACTCATAGAATAATCTTGATACATCTAAAACATTTTTGTCTCATTATTCCCCCTGTTGTTGTTGTTATTATTATTATTATTATTATTCACAGGCACTTAATTGTGTCTTGTGTAACCGATTTGCTAGTTGATAGTTGGCTATGGCCAATAAATATGATTAGGAAGAGATTTTTCCTTTGGTAGGTTACCTGACAGTAGCCATTACATATTCCTGTGAAGAATATCATTGTCCTGGTTTCAGCTGAGAGGGTTAATTTTCCTCACATTAACCCCGTCAGCTGAAACCAGGACAATCATGTAAACAACTGTTGGACCAGAACTAGCCTAGAAATGTGTTGTGACCTGTTGTTTTAGTTACAACAGATCTAAGCCTAAGATGGACAGTAAAGTTGTGTCTATGATTATATAACGCTATAGGAAGATGATGATAATTACAATAGTATATCTTTATTTTTATATGTGTATGTATGTACACACTCTATATTTATCGTGGCTAGAGAAGGGGTAGGGAAGTGGGATGACGCATTATCAATTACTTACCTGTCTGGGGTTGTTTCAACACTGTTTTTCTATGGACTTTTCAAAAAAGACCTGAACTGCTCTAAGAATCTGAATTGCAACTAAATTCTAATGTATTAAAATCATGATAATCTGACTGTTACTGCTTTAAGGGAGAACTAGTATTTACAAATAGAGCTTTTGTGGAGAGAACTGTCACTGAAATGTCTTTATAAGACTGAAACACAACTTGATAAATCAAGTTTCTTACTATCTAAGGTTATACTAGCCATTTATGGTTTGGCCTTTCTGACATTGCCTGCCTCTCCAATGGTTAGGATAATCTTTCTTCATCAGTCAGCTAGGGCTATTGAAGCTAGTATTTTTAGTCATATAAGCTACAAATGCTCCTCTTGTTTCTAGGAGACTTTACACACCCACATGTTTTGGAAAATGTTCCAAGTTTCCCCTGAGAGGGAAAAAAAAAAAAAAAAAAAGGCAGCAATACTTGCCTTTTAGGTGGAGGAATGCCTTTTTTTGGCTAGGGCTGTAACTTTTCTGCCTGTGAACTCCCAGGTGCATACTTGAGGTCAGCTAAGTTCCTTGTAATGGAATTGGGGTTTAGTTCATACAAAACCTATGGAATCCATGCAATTTGAGAGCGTAGTGCCCTTTCCCCCCCATAAATTGTGGGATTTCTCCCTTTAACAATGCAGAGAACATACCCAATCCTTCTGGGAGTTGAGGCTCTAAAATAAAAAATGTCTCCTCAAACTAGAAAAATGCCGTACATGCAAGATTTTCCACTGTCATATGAGTGGCTGCGGATGATGGAGTCACTTCCATATTACATACCAAATTCAGAACATGAATGTTTGTTTTCTCAACAGAGATTTATTTTTATTAGTCCACATCTACTGAACAAGGACAAAATGAGTAATTCATCAGGCTGAGTGGTTTTAAGTATGAAATTACTCTGAATGGAGTTAAAATTTATAGGATTGATGAAATGTACTGTTCCAGCTCCTTAAACAGGTCATGCAGGAATTATAAACAATGCTTTCTAATGGCTGTTTATGAAATCCTCTCACAACCTGTTTATATCTTTTTTGAGTAACATTTTAATCACAAGGGTTTGTGATCAGATTAGTGTGTTTTCTTTACAAGCTTTAGGTTTGGATGGCTTTTATTTCTGATATTAGATGTTATATAATATACCTCAAAATATTGTTTAAGCTTTCACATCTGCGCAGGGGTAATAACGTAATCCCTATAACCTGCCATGACTGTGAAGTCCTCTTCAGTTTTTATGTAGCAGTAATCCTGAAAACCTGTCTATGTAACTGTCAAAGCCGCTCTTGTCAGATCCTAGAATATGCCAGTTTAAATTGCACCTAGTGTTGTTTTGCATTTACTTCTGGTAATTTCTTACACTTTCCCCTTACAGACTGGTTACTTTTTTGGGGAGGTTGAAGGGGCTGTGATGAACAAGTTGCTAACAATGGGCTCCTTTAAGAGGTAAGAATTAACTCAACTTTCTATATCTTAAAAAGTGTTGTAAGAACAAAATAAACCAAACTCAAAGTCATGTAAAAGAAGTCCAAGACTGGCAGTGTGGCTGGATTCTCATTTATACCTTTTTTCCATATGATCTGAGTGTAACTAGACGCCATGCACATTGAACGTGAAGAGTATTGGAGACAGCCTATAGTAAGTTTCTTTTTAAAACAACAATTTATTTGACTCCAATGTTAAAATTGTGTGCCTCTCTTGCTCCCACTGTGCTCAAGTGGGAAAGGGATTGGGCCATATCAACTACTGAACAGTTTTAAATGGCTTTAAAGCGAGTCATTGATGCAACATTAAACATTTTGACCTGTAAAAAGTTGGAGATTCCTCAAACTGGGCAGTGCAAAATGCCCTACTGTTGAAGGGAAAGTGTTCTGCTGGTAATTAATTTTCATTCACATGCTAACCCACCTTTCAACGTTGTTGTGACTATTGACCTGGTCTTACTGTCACGATGACAATAAAACTAATAGTGATTTTATGTGTTGTCCTTTGAAATAAATTATGAGTCCTGGGGAAGTAAGAAAGCCCTTTTCCCTTTAACCTGTAACTCAACACTAGAGTCTTCATGGCTTTCACATGGTTTAAGAACTGTTCCTTACCCCTTTGTCCTCTTACAGCATGAGAGTAGTGCTGATCATATGTATTACACTTTTCCCTTTTATTTTCCTGTGCATTTCTAGTATTAAAAAAAGACTCATCGCTGATCCCATCAACCACTGAATTTAGTTATTACATGTGAGGGTGTATACAGAGGTTCTCTAAACAGATGGTTTGCGTGCTTCCTTGGTAAGCCAGCTCTCCTAAAGGCAGAAAGCTTTCCATGCTGCCTCTGCACATTATAGCTGAATACCACTCCCAGTAAATGACTGACCTGAAATGGAAAGATCTAGCACTCTCTGAATCATCCCAAATCCTAGTTTTCTGAGGGTGGCAACCTTTTTGTGTTTAGCATTACATTCTTAACATATGGTGTAAAAGGAAGTGAAGTAATACATATTTATAGACTGGGTTCTATGATGAAACGATCTGTTTATACAAGAGATGAAGCATTTTATTTAATGCAAACAAAAACATACAGTCAGAATCAAGGTATAATGCTTTGATTTGTCCCAATTTGTTTTGTCCTGCCTAGCAAAGCATTTCAAATGTAATATCTCCTGATCAACCGATGGTATTAGGCACCACCATTGAGAAAACAAAGACTGCATGTCTCGGGTATTCCATCTAAACTGCGGTGGGCGCCAAATTGGCATGGATCATTGGCTTATCGTTTTGCTCGTCTTGAGCTCCAAGGGAGTTACAGATAATGAAGCCACTAGCTCAGTGCAACTGAGCTGCATGCTAAAGAAAATGTAAACACAATGAACCAATTGTTTAAACATAATAAACTGGCCATTGCCAATCAATTAAAAATCGGAGAGAATCAAAGTGGTGTAATTGCACTAAATGAGCCACCTGCTTTTCCTGCTGTACAGCAGATAGCTCTGTGCAGCAACAAAGAAAACCCCAAGCTGTCTTTGAGCTGTGCTAGATGAGGCCTTTAAAATAAATTATTCCAGCAATATGAAGAAAAATTTTTGCTGGCTCTCATGAAAGAGAGTCAGACACATTTACCATATTTTTAAGATTACTAATTTGTTTGGGTGGCAGTGTGTTTTGCTTTTCCAAAATTTATTTTATATGGAATAAGAAGTAAAGAAAATAGCACTGAATAATGCAATGGCAAAATCTATTACCAGTACCATTTCCCTGAGAGCACAACAGTATAGATATTGCATGCATTATACTTGTCATTGCTGCTCTTACCACGGAGACAAAATCAGAGCGCAAGCTCTGTTCTTTAGCCTTTTATTCTGATAATATCCAGAGCCATCCTTTCTTTCACTTTGCTTCTTGTATGGCATTCACTGCCCAGCAGGTGAATTACATAGCTTTGCCCCCTTTCATCTCATCTTGCTCCCTTTCTGTTTAGTTTAGAAGTAGAAGGTTCTACGGTGCTGCCTTCACTGCAGAAGAGTTTAGTAACATCCCCAGTGACCGTGGGGATGGGAGTCCTTTCTTCCTTTTGCACCAATAATCCGAGTGGCAGTGAGATATGTGCTACCACCTTGCTGATTCATGCCAGCTTTCAGGTTCTCCATTCACAAAAGGAATGAAATAACTCTTTGTGCGTTCTCTCAACTACCACTAATTTGGAGAGGTATAGAAGTTCTTTTTAGGATTGAGCTGGAAGTGTTAAACAAAAGGGGGTTGTTTGCTGCTGACTGTATTTCTTTTCAACCTGCAGCAGGATGAAATTCAATTTTTGTGTTCGATGTTTATTTTCTAAAGTGAGCTTAAATACCTCCTTCCCTCCTCAATTTCTTTTAACTCAGTACTTCTTTTGAATAATGTGTACATATGTATGTATGTATATTTTCTTAGTTTATGGGATTTATATTTAGGGAGAAAAATTATATCAGTGCCTCCACAGCAACGTGACATGTTCTATGATTTCATTTAGCAAAATGATGTTTATCTTATACCCTGAATATTGCACACAGTTAAATAATTTAAATATAATTTAAATTCGCTATTAAATAAATTAGGATGTGCTTGTGGAAAAGTATCTGCTTCACATAACTTGGAAAAAAGTTTCTTTATAGTTTCCTCAGCACTTTGTTTACATAAAAACAGTGGAAAAAAATAGATTCAACTGCTCAAAGCATGAAAATTTAAAAAAAAAAAAAACCAAAAAACATTAGCATCAGAGCCATGAGATCCCCCCAAAATTAACTTAATAAATCTAAAAGAGAAAATTAAGTATCTCTTGACTTCAAAATACTTTCATCCTTACCAGTAGAAGGAAAACTAAGCAATTCTGTAAGACAACTATGGAAGCAGCATCATTTCCTCTTAACAGTTCGGTTTCCACTAGGCATCCTCTTGGCCTCTGAAGAAGAATCTATGCTTTGGTATTTAATCACTTTGTCAGAATATATCCCTGAAACGGTGCACCCCTGAATTCCAGTTTTCCCAGATGCTTAGGCTCACTCTAATAAGTTCTTGTTGCTTTGAGAGCTGTTCTTGTTTCTCAGTTTTTCTTGCTCTGTTCCTTCATCTTTATTCCCGTGCTTCCTAGGGAATAATGCATGCTGGCTGTGGCCTGATGGCACGGTACAGTCCGAATCCCTCACCTGTGTTCCCCAAATGCATGCACGTAGAGGCAGACTTTCATCTCTCTGTCTTGATTTGCTTTATAAGCAAAACCTAGCAAGTGTTTTGCCTCCAGGTTATAAGATCATAAAAAAAAAAGAGAGAACTCTTTACCAAACTACTTGCAAAGAGCGGAACATTCTGACAGACAAATCATGAAAACAGTAACTGGTTGCTCACCAACAGGACGCTGATTTCCACTGAGGCAGCACAGCCTCCAAATTAAGGATATTTTTCTGTTTAGTTAAGGCCACTCTTACTTAAGCATTCATTTTTAATAAGATATTCTTGAATTTTTGGTGAAGGTGTTAAATGGATACATATTTAAAAATTGTGTTTATTTCCATGTGGATTTTTACAGTCATCAATTTGACCTTCTATTAATTTGGCAGTGTTTCTGAATGTAGATGTAGACTTTGGAGAAGATCAGAGACAGATTGACGGAACAATTCAAATTAGAGTTAGTGGATTTGGAATTGGACAAATGCAACTGTGATGTAGCAGTTCTGCAATGTAGCGGTTCTTACATTATAAAAAATTCCCCATCTTTAGTGATGATTTATTTAGTAAAAGAAAAAGTAATCTCAAAATGTACCCTACGTTTATGGCATAAATACCATGAAAAATAGCCAGGTAGATGAATAGGCATTTTTTGTATGGGCAGGCAGAAGACATTCAAGGTAAGAAAATGAGCAGACTATTTCCAATAATTATCTTCTATATTAGCTGTCATGTGCACTGCAGAGCATGTATGAGGCCTGCACCCTTAATCTTCAATTTATAAATGAATGATATGTTGCTGTACTGCCCTGAAGAATGACATTCCATTTTCATCAACAAAATAGCTGTCAGAAAGGCAACAAAATAGCAGGCTGTCTAGTACAGGTTTACGAGTAGGTACAAAAGAACCCAGTAATATCTGTCACTTCCCTCTTGTCATTACCAACAAGAGTAGCCCTGTTCTGATTTTTTTTTTTTTTCATTTACCAGATGTGCATCTGGTACCTGTGCTCTGAAACTCCCTCACTGCTCTATTGTATGTTTTCTGCTCATATTTTGTCCATGTGACATCTAAAATTAACGTCTTAAAACTGAGTTTGGGCATTGTTAGAGTTTATATCTCTGTAAATATTACCACAAATTTAATGCAGTGTATTAGTATATGGGAATAGTTTTACCCACTTAAGGAGCAACCCAGACACATGTGCTATGTAAATGAGTTGTCATGCTGTATGCTGGAAATACAGGTTGAGTGGTAATTTTTACACATGTTATGCTTTGGAGCACCTTGGCAATTGGGAATAGCTGAACAATAAAGGCAAAGATGTGTGATGACAAGCTTGTTTTGTCAAAATGCTGCAATTTATTTTTATGCTTTTCATTGATTTTCTTAGTGGTGAAAGGCATTAGTCTGACAGCTTCTGGACACTAATAATCTGTCTGTTAATGAAGGTGGGAGAGCCAGAGCAGCAACAGTACGGGATTCCTCAAAATGTCCTGCTACCTCCCCCCCTCTCTAGATTTTAGAAACTAGTTTGTTCTTCATACCATTCAACACTGTCCCTCCTTCCCCTCCTTGGGAGAAGGCCAGACAGGCTGCATATCTTGTGGCTGCGTTAATGAACATCTTTCCACCACAAGTGAGCTGTAGTCACCAATAATTTCTATGTGGAGTACTGAGTAAAGCATAGTGTCAATAATTAGGGCTTCCTGTATTATTGGCTTCCTTTGCTTGGTTCTTTGGAGCACTTCTTCCTTTTTTTCGATGGACTTGACATTCACTTCCATGGTAAGAAGCTTATTATTCCTACACATTATATGAAAACCCCTAAATCTTGACCTGATGACAAAACATTTGAAATTTTATTCATTGAAGATCTTTCAGCTATTATAATTGTTAGACATGGTATTTTACACTACCAAGCAGAAATCCGTAGCTGTGCTGAAAATCTATCTGAAAGCAATAGAGTACATCTGTTAATATAGCCTGTGCTGCTGGTAGGTCTTAGAAGTTTAATTTTCTTGAACCAGATTCATACTCAATTGTAAGTACATTGCAACGTACAAGACTGGAATTTACTATATCAGTAAATTGACAATAAAAAGGTTTTCACTAAAATGTATTTGGCGCCTGAAGTTATATACAATGGAGGTTCACATTTAGTTTTTGGTAAGTTTTTTCCATTAGTTAAAGATGGTTGTACATAGTCTGTGTTTGTCCTATGACTGATGTTGCAAATAACTACTCTGTAGACTTCAGTGACCAGGTGTGGAAATATGGGCAATTAACAGCATGGTGATGTCAGAAAGTCTCAAGCATGTCAACCGTAGCAACAGCAAAGCTCTCCTGTGAGGTGCTGTAATATATAGAATGGATTGGGCATCTAGATGGACTTAAAATTGGATCATGGGAAGCAGGCAATTATGTTCCCTACTATAGTCAGTTGAACAGGATACGGTTAGCTGCAAACAGTTATTTAAAACTGTAACACAATAACTTCAAACAAGGCAATCTGGAAGCCTTTCTTTCTGCAACAGTGAGTTAAGTCTGAATGAGAAGAAAGCTTATTTTCTAAGCTCTCAGAAAGACAGGCACAATAAAATAACTCGCTGGAAATGACACCTGAACACAGAAGCACCGCAGTGTCTTAGGCCACTGTTTTGACTACAAATACCGTAGCAGCCTTTATAAAGAATAGAGCTGGAAGGCTTTTACCTTCCTATTACATTTACAAGAATAAAAACAAAGCAAAACTGGATTTGAATTTGTGAACGCTTTGGAACCCATTTATACTGAGCTTACAGTGACAGAGTCCAGAATTGATTCAGTATGTTGCAGCGTTCAGATTTCAACGTTGTTATGGGCTTCATCCACTGATCTTTGAAATGTATTGCAAAATTCCTATTTGTTTTTAGTGCGGAACAATCAGGTCTTTATAATAGTTTGGCTATAATGCTTTTGCTGTTATATTTTACACATCCTGTGTTATAGATGTTGGAGTCATCTTTAGGAACTTTCAGATAAGTGTTGAGCCTGCCCACTTGGAAAGTTACTGAGATGGGAATACATTGTTCACAAAAGAGAACTCATTCCAGGATTTTGTTAAGAATTCTATACCTGCCATGTACCTTTCTAAGGATTTGCTCCTTTTTTTTTTTTTTTTTTAATCTGGATACATTATCTGTTTTCTAGTTTGCTCCTGAACCAGAATCTTCACAGTGGAAACACCTTCAAATATATTTACTAAAACTAAACTCATTATAATATCATCCACAGATGTTATTCAGGCATTTCCAAACAACAGTTTTGTGGTGTTCCATAATGATTTTGAGGTTGTTTATTACAACTCTTCCCCTCTGCCATCACTTTAAAGTTTAGTATTTCTTTCCCTGTTAAATGAAGGGGGTTTTACCTACTTATGTTTTAAGATTTTTGTTCTTCTTGCTGATAATACAATCTTAGATTGTTGTATACTCCCTGCAATACAATAAGCCAATCTAAAAAAAAATATAATCTAGCATGTCGGGGCACAATATTAATTATATTTCTGATTATTTGTGTGAGTATATATTTCAATCTTTGAATGACTTGTTATCTTTAAGCATTTAAAGAAACTAGTACATCTATTACATTGTAATAATTACATAAGAAATGTAATACAAGTACAAATATTGAGGAGGGGAAAGACTTTTCCCATTATTTAAAGTGAAGTTCAAATTATAGCAGACGTTCCACATGGCACACTGCAATAGTATCTGATCAACGGTTCTTAGCAGAATAATGCAGTCCACAGATTGACCAAACAGTTCTGGTCTATGAAATTGGAAGTTGAGCAACTGATTGCACTTTAAAACATCAAACAGTCACTAGACTTATTACATTGAAAAAACGTTTACAAAGAATAAAGATAAAACAGAACGCTATTCTACTTGTAACACTAGGTATTGAATGAAGCAGGATGAGACCATTTCATGCAAAGAGAATTCCTTGACTGCTCTGCAGAGAGCACGTTAACGTTTTAAACTGCCCTTGTCTGTGTGCTTATCGCTTGCCACCATCGCTAGGAGGTCCAAGTGGACATGCAACATGGTCCTTGCATCTTGAGGAATAAAATAGTCGAGCCAAACAAGACGGGAAAGGCTGAGCTGTAGAGATTGCCTTGCAGGGGCTGGATTCTGACCATGGTCGCAGGGGGGAAAAAACTAAAGGGGAAAAGCAGCTAGGGAAAGTGGTGTATTACTGCATGCCACACAGGCAGCACAGCTTACACCATGTACTGCTCTGTTTGTCTTGGCAGATCTGTGTGCGCGGATCTGGCTGTGGGCGTGATTCTGCCAAATATGGTCAGTGTTCAACTTACACCCATGTTTAGGTCTCTAGTTATGCGTTTGTCTACCATGTGCCTCTCTCTGCCAGTCCACAAAACAATGGCTGCCTAGCCATTTCTATTCTGAATATAAGATAAAATTACTAATGTAAGCAGTATGGCCATGTACTAAATATTTAGTTGAAGCTGCGACATCTGATATATTAGATATTTTGCCTGAAAGCCAAAAAGAAAATATAGGAATAATAAAGAAGCTTTTAGTGATGGTTCTGTCACAAAATTAGATCAGAAAAATTATATACAGTTTCTACCACAATGGATTACAACATTGTATTGGTACAGGTTGTAACGTTTCATGGCATGCAGTGCAGAATGCCTCATGGTGATGCTGAATGCATTTCATGACCTGGTTTTGGCAGCTTCTGGGACATCTTTTCCGTAGCCGAATTTGTGTGCTCTCCTTTCCTCTTCACTTAGAAGCAAGGCACACATTGCAAAATGTTGAAGTCCCGTCTCATACATCTATAAACCATCTATGTCCAATTGTGTTCCTTTGTCCCTCTGATGATGCAAAAGTCAAATGGATATGTACAAATAATACTAGTAACTTTTATATATTTACACTTGTTGCAACTTATCAGCTAGATATTGTTTACATCTGCTATAGATGTTAAATGCTTTTTAGGTGGATGGATATAGTTAATTAATTGTTCTATGGACAGACAGATTTAGAGAAATAGTCACAATTCCAAATCCTCTGAGTTCTGGATTTTACATTTAGATCTCTGAAGTGTATCAATGATGAGTAAAATCCCAGACAGAAAGAAATGTCCCTGTTTACTATGCATCTGAGGAGGCTTCTAGCATATGTTGATTACAGCAGGTACTTGACGTGGAATATTTTGTCCTCATGAAAAGAAGCAAAAGTAAACCCATCCTGCTTCAATTGTCTGTACTGTGAATACACTGAAATTTCACCTCTCTCTTCTTTGGAAGCAACACCATGTTTTTACGGATTAGTTGTGCACTGAGAGCTGTGGAAGTGTCTTTTTGCCTTTACTGGAGTTCAGGAGTGGTCTGTTGTGAGAAGCCCCTCAAATGCATAGGTTCTTTCACTTTCTGGGGCTCAATGTGCTGATCTCAGTCCAGAACCAATTGTTTAAGCATCATGTCGACTGTGTATTCGCCTCCTCCTCACATTGTTGATATCATTGTGTGTTACACCGTATGTGTATCTTCCCTGGTTTCTCCCACTTACGTTTTTGCTTTGTTCTGTAGTCTGATAAAATCCTTACAAAGTTTTCACAGTGTTTCTTACCTTTATTCTCCTTTGTGTAACCTGTATTTTAATGACCCCTTTCCCTCTTTTCCCTGCTGCTGTTACAATTTTTATTTTCCTGTCTACCTTGTGGGCAGACTGTTCCATGTCATCACTTTTATTCCACTGTGTTTTCTTCTTTTAGTCAAGCACTTTTCTGTTCTTCCCTGTAGAATTACACTTTATGACTACCAGGCCATGTGTAGAACAAACAAAGAGAGTAGCGACAGTGCCCATAGCTTACTGGACGTAAGTATAGTAAATTTTCTGAGCACCTTTCCATGCAATCATCAAAGAAAATTGTTGCAAATATCTCATGGCCATTGTAAACCCATTATTTTGATTTGGAATGCTTACAGCTCTTGCGTTTATCCCTGTGCATACAAGGAATGGTTCGTTATAAATCAATGCAAAGTGTTAAGCATTTGTAAGTTCAAGTACACGATATTTTTTAATGCTGGGCCACCATTTCTGAGGTTCTGTCAGAATATACTTTGTACCATTTGAATCCTCCTTCTTAGGACTTTGTAAATTTGGCAATAGATTGTGCTTATTTTGGGGGACTGGAATCATATGTCTTTTCTATATGTAAACACATATATGCATGTAGAAATCTAATTCAAATTAAAAATTTAGAGGGGTTTTTTATATGAAAAGATTGGTTCATGGGCAAGGCATACAAGTCAGTGATTTTATCAATTTTTTTTTTTTCATATTTAAAGAAGATGTCTTTTAAAGTAGAATTTCAATGCATTTAGACCCTTGTCTTGCAATTAGATCTGAATAGAAACCGTGTCCCTCTGCAAGGCCTGATTAGAGACAAGCTGGCTCTTGCAAGGACAACACCTCCTTGTTGCTAAATCATGTATCTAGGTAATAACCCCAAAGGTATTTTATAATCATTTATATGTTTTACTGATTACGGTAATTATCAGAACTGAAAAGGTGTTGGATAAAGTATAGGTTTTGCATATTAAAAAGGAAGCATTTTAACAAATATATGACAGTCTTAACATGAAAAATTCTTATGTAAAGACAGCAGTAAAACACTCTAGCAATTTTACCCCTCTGGAAAAGTTATCTGGTAGTATTTTTAAATTCACAGGGATCTAGCTAGAAAAACTTAAGTCTACACACAGTTAAACTGTTGAGTAAATATCAAAGTTCTGGCACCTTCCAAATATCTACATATAGGTTCTATGGTTTAATAATCATATGCATTTTGGGATGTTTTCATTTACATATTTACGTGACTCTATGTTTTTCAAATATCTGCAAATTTGGATTTCCTGCATTTATCAGTCTGTTGTCTGCTAAAGCCTGAACCTGAGAAAAGAATATCTTGACATAATAATAAGTACCAGGCTGTGCAATGAGACTTAAATTGTCGGTGAAATAGAATGGGATGCTGTGAATCACATTTTAAAATATATTAAAACTGTTAGCAACAACCTTCCATCCCAAGGCTTGGGGCTTCAGCTCAGTTTGCATAAGCACCCAGCATGTAAAGTTGAAGTACTTCTCTCTTACGAGTGGGCTTAAATCCAAGAGATTTTCACTATTCCAATTTTGCTCCAGCCTGTGTTTACAGAGAAAAAACTCTGCAACTGTTGTGGGACACACTGAGGCGTGGCGAGTGCGTTCTTTCTTTAGTTTTTTAAAGATAGCCAAACTCGTCTTTAAACCTCGAGTGTGTTTTTGTGATGTTCAACATGAAAGATGGGCAGAGATTTGGTTATTTTATTATTTTCCTGTTGATTTAGTCACTTCTAATAACCAAAACTACAGAGAAAGTATAAAGAGAACTTGCATTAAAACTAGGTAGGGCTAGATTCCTCAAAAGTATTTTTTTTTCCTGTTTTTATGCCCGGTCTTGCACATATAGATCAGGTTATTAAACAGTATTCAGTACGGTTTCTACCTAAGCAAACTATTTGTTCACAAATGTTTATCCTTCCTTTTGAGACTTACAGTTTTATAAATACAGGAATAGATATAGGGACGGAGACTCTTTAAAAAGTTCCTATTTCAAACAGCATCGAAGTGGCGCGTAGGCATCAAAGACTGTATGACGACTAAAGGATCTATCACAACATTCTGCCAAAACCGTGGAAAACAGGTGTCAGGGCTGGCCCTCCCTCCCTGTCATGGCTTTTTAGGCTCTAGGACTAAAATGATACATTAGGGATGGACTAGATTTACAGATCTTCCAGTCCATTTTTTCACCAGCATAAGGCTGCTTCTTAAAAAATACCCAGACACTTTGTTGTTTAGCTTGTTTTCTTGTTGTAATTTATTCAGGTCCTAGGTATCTCTGCATAGAACCACTTTCTGCAAACGTATCGGTGCCACAGAGCGTCCCAGCTCAATTCGTTTGGCTCTCAATGATGGCTGAGCTACATAGAGAGAATAAAACTCCTGCAGTTTTTGCTGCTGTTTTTGAAGGAACAGACTTTGTGTGGAAAAGGCTGTCTTAGTAAAATCCCATTTCATGAGAATGCATTTATATCAATGTAATGAAATGTTTTTCCACTAAAATTTCAAAACAAATTATTTTTCTGATTTTCTATTCATATTATTGAAATTTTTGTCAGATATATTGAGGTCTTACGTTTCTTTTAGTTCTCATATTAAAATAGTTTTATAATACATAGTGTATTTTACTATTAGTAATAATAAATACATTCTTTTACACTAAATAATTTGGCATTATGAAAACAAAAGTATGCAACAAAGTTAATTACTTGGGTGTGAAATTTCAGGCTTTCTGATTTGGAATGAAAATAAATAAGATGTCCCACAGGGCTGAAATTTTGTGTTCTTTTCATCTCTAGGAAAGACTTGTAGCTTTTTATCTTTTCCTAGAAGACAGTCCTCAATAGGTGAAAATCTTTACTGTCGCAGGCATTATGCATTCTGCTGGCTCGTTATTTCAGCCTTTCAGGCCCCTGACTGACACTAGTTCCTTGGCTCTGTGAGTGATCAGCCCTGTGCAGAAAGACTCTTGGTGGCCTCCGAAAACCTGAAATGGCCAGTTACTGCTGCACAAATTGGCTCTGCTTCGGTAAGGTGCTGAGTCAGGACGGTTAACTGTGATTTTAGGTATCTGAGTAATTCTCTTAAAGTCAATAAGACTTCTTACATGTCCTAAAATACTCTGTTGATATGGAATTTAAAAAGGCTGCAAAATTTTCTGCAACAGGAAGACCCTAACACAAATGAGCAGGACAAGGACAGATTCCTTTCCCAATTTCTGGAAACTGACTTTTCTGCCTGTGACTCTTTCATTGACATCTTTTAAAAAAATAAAATGTTCAAAACGTATTAAAGTGCTGTAAGCACAGGATTTTCAAAGTGTTTGCTGTATTCGTTCTGATCCAGAAAAATAAGAGGGAGGAGGGATGAATCTTAAAAAACTACTTAAAGTGCTTACAACTGGGCCTTCAATATGACACAGATAACTTCATTTAGGTAAATTCAAACTTCAGAAGCTTTTCCTAGCCTAATTAGACTGAGGTAATGAACAGAGATTTACATTATAGAGATGCAAGTCTGTGAATTGCAGCCTAAGAAAAGCTCATGTTATCTACCAGAGCTGTTCCTCCAGCAATAGCCTGGGAAATAGGAACCCCTAGAGGTTAAATATTTAAGAATCATTTGCAAAACTTTCCTTTTCCAACTGATAATCTGTGTGTATCACCAAGCACATGAAAAGGAAATTTCATTGCTACGTATTTTAATATTCACTATAATAATACTTGCTTCTTCACAAGAAAAAGTTATTGTTCTTTTTTCTCATGCTACCCATGCATTTGAATATCCATAACATTGTCTTTACGTGAAGAATTCAATTAAGATATAAATACTGCACATTTTGCCTTTTTATTAAATGAGTTGCTTCTCTTCAGCCTTATAATGCCTTCTTTGCTGCAGTAAAATGGATTATGACTGAGCTTGTCTTGTAAGTAAATTTTATCAAGAACTTAATATTTGTATGAATTAATGAATGTTTGTACTTTTGAATACTGAATGAATATTTGTACTTTTGCCTTTTACATACATTGTGCTGCTTCTGTTATGTGATTTTAAATATAATAATATTTGTTAATTTTTTGCTTTCTGATTTTGCGTTGTTAAAATCTGAGAAAATTTTGGCCATATGACTGCACAGTTGCACTTTTTACATTATTCATGGTCTTCACTTATATCCGTATGTCTTTGCTTAGTAAGGCTAGCAGATCGCAATATGCAGCCAAATTTATTATTGTGGTTACTGTTAAATTTTACATAAAAGTCTGGCTGTTTGTGATGCTGCCTGGGTGGGCTGTTGTCAATATGACAAACTGTTCTAGTGACTCACTGCATCGTTTGTCACTTCCTGAATTTCTGTAGGATGGACCTTTCACAGTATATGCCAGATAAGGTGTACTCTGGATATTGCCGAATTTTTTTACCTGGCCTAATTCTTCTGACATTTCAAGTTAATACAGAATGAGCATTGTCTTTAAGAGAGATTGCCTAAGAAATCACAGAGAAATATATGGAGAAGAGGAAGCCTTAAAATATATCTTGTATTATTAACCTATATGTTTTATTATTGTTCTTATCAGAGAGCAGATTTGCGGATTTTGAATTTTATCTTTGTTGAAATAAAATATTTTTTTCTTGTAGTCATTTTGTTTTAATTGTAAATTATATGAGCTTTCATGAAAGTTTGGAATAACAGTTAAGGAGAACTAACTGAATGGCTATTGCCAGAGGGCAGAGGTTGATCGTAAATGCAGCTTTCAAAGTAAATATCAGGGAAAGAAATCATGTTAAAATGAGACTTTGATGCTAGCTATAACAGCTTCGAAAATTTCCAGAAACTTTCTGTGTTTATAAGTATTGTACTTGCTTGTCCATGTGATAAACTGGATGTTGCTTTCACATTCTTCACGCTTACAATAACTGATAGACTGACACGTTTCGGTCCATTCTTCAAAGTAAATTGCAATATTTTTTAGTGG